AAGCTGTTTAACCATGTGTATTCGAATCTATAATAAAATACCAAATGAAATCAAGTCGAATAATAATAATAATATATTTAAAAAAAAATTATTGACTTATCTCAATGAAAATCAATTTTATGACATCAGAGAACTATTTGTTAAATGTAAATGATATATATTTTTTAATGAATTGTTTTGTATTATGATTAGAAAATTTTATTTGTATATGTGCTATTTATGTAAATTTGCATGCTATCACAATCACATAGCAAACATGTTGTGCTTTAAGAATTGTACCATCCTTATCTGTCCATGTTTTATGCAAATAAATAAATAAATAAATAAATAAATAAAATGAATAAAATTTATATAAATAATATTGAAAATCGAATCAAAAATAATTTTATAATAAATGTAGTTATAAATTACATGATTTAAATTAATACAAATTTTAAAATATCACCCGTGTACAAAACGCGTCACGAATGGCTGCTGTATTTGTGACGTCATTATGTTATTTTTATAAGATCAAGATGACAAACGAGCACACAGTCCACCTGATATTAAGTGGTTGCTGTGGCCCATAAACATTTACATCTATCCTTGATTATTAAACAAAATGCAGATGCATTGTCATCCGTGAGGACTAAGATGGAATGCTTCGTTTCCAGTAAAAAGGGTCTCCGGTTCTCTACACTTACCATACGAAGCACAGCAGTATTTACGCTGATATTCCATGAGAGCGTGGTCCTTCCCCGGTCGAGCCGACCTACAGCCGTACTACAACTATACTAGTAACATAGCTGCAGCATGACTCTCTACCACATAAAATGTTAATGTGCTTTGAATAAAACTAAATTTACGGATTCTATCGCGTTTATTTAACTGATTTTACTTATTTTTAATTCCCGACGTTTCAGGGTGCTGTAAAGCACTGACTGGGGACTAAGATGTTTGACATCCCAATGTCATTGTCATTGTTGCCCGGCTACCTTCAGTTTTTGAATATTATTTTTTGTCTCTCACACATCTCAGTCTCCCCGTGACCATGAGTGCTGTAAAGCACCCGAAACGTCGGGAATTAAAAATAAGTAAAATAAGTTACATAAACGCGATAGAATCCGTAAATTTAGTTTTATTCAATGTGTAGTGTTCGAGTAAATTTAAGAAATCATTAATGTGCTTTTTTATTCCAAATTTAAGTATTTAATAAGATAGATGTCATTCATCCCTGCGAATTTTTTTATTACACCGAATAAAACTCACAACAGGTATAAAAAAAAACAAATACATCGAAGTAATTTTCAGATTAGACATTTTCAATGAAATAATCAACACGCCGATGTTCAGAATACGATTAAATCAATTATAGATGAAAATACACGAATCAGGCGACTGTTACAATAGAGGCAAATTTACCATTGTGACGTCACAAAGCGCTCGAGGTTTTTTCGGAAACGGTCGGGCGTCATCGGTACCGTGCTTAAATTTAAATATTTATTTTTAACTTGACATAACTTTTTAATTACTATAAAAAATATGAAATAAACATGTTTTAAATATTTCCGGCTATCCCCGGCTTCGCACGGGTGATTCCTGGATATCGACAACAGCGCCACCTACCGGGTCTAAACGTGAATATAACCATCTAGCGACCCATTCAAACACCCATAAAAATTTTGAAATCGGTGTGATGGTTTCAAAGTCTATAACGGACATAGGCAACAAGTTTTGGCTTGGCTATGGCAATGGCTGGTATTAATAACATTTTCATTACACTATTTAATGAATATTTACAATTAACTTAAATAACGAGATCATACAGAGCAAAAAAACAATTTTTTTCTAATTTCCTACTTAATCCCTTAAACACTAAAAATACAAAATAAAATTCCAGAATGTATCAGAAACATTAAAAGGAATAAAAAAGTTCAAAAAGGAAGTTAATACATTTAAACGAAATTTTTTTATTAGTGTTTGCAGGAGTTTGTAGGAAATAGGAATAAATATGTTTTTTCTCTGTATGATCTCGTTATTATTTAATTTAATTGTAAATATTCATTAAATAATAATTATGATAATTTTATTAGTAATACCATAATGTTAATGTAATAATAATATTAATTAAAGTTACTGCCTATATATATCCCACTCCTGGGCACAGGCCTCCACTCATTCCTGAGAGGGTTTTAGGGAGAGGAATTTTCCGCCGCGATGCCCCGATATGTTTTGACTAACTTCACATGTCTTCAAAATATTTTTTCTTATTTGTCAGACATACAGGTTTCCTCACAATGTTTTCCTTCACCGCCGAGCATGTACTCAGCACTTAAAATTGCAATTAACAATTTCATTGATACCGGCAGGGCGAACGTCGCGTACTGTAAATTTACAGCTAGTGCTAACCATGTGAACTGCCACGGCGAGATAATAATATTTATAATAGCCAATATATAAAACACAAAAAAACTGTTTCTACATATATATATATATATATATATATATATATATATATATATATATATAAACCTATGTCTATAAACTTTGAAATCATCCAACAGATTTTGTTGAAATTTGTGTGTTTTTGAATGGGTCCCTAGATGGTTTATATTTATATTTGGACCCGGTAGGTGGCGCTGTTGTCGAGATCCAGAAATCACCTGACAGTAACTGGGCGGTTCGCTAGTAACCAATATTTCCAGTGGCTTTCCCGGGTTCTTGTTTTGAACAAGAACAGCAAATAAATTGAATTTAATTAATTTAAAAAAGGCCCAGTTCATTCGTTAGTAGCGCCACAGAATAAATAATAAGTAGTACTGGGTTCGTATATACGTCATTGATATTGCGAGTGGTTGATATTATTTCCATGTAAATACAAATAATTCCTTAGTCTATAATTATACTTATTATAGAGACATTGCAGAAAAGAGAACACCCACTGACGCACAAATAACAATCTTTAAAAAAAATACCTAAACAACCTTAAATTTAAAATTTATTTGAATTTAGAATTGCAAGTCAAACCTTAGATTACAGTAAATAAAATATAATAATAAAATAAAATGGTAATTTTAAAGGTAAAGAGCCACTAATAAATAATATCTATAATATTGTGTATTAGTCGGTTAATTCAAAAAATAAGTATTCATAAAATATTTAAATGTTTACTTTTGAGCCAAAAAGCTAAACATCAAGAAATATTCCTAGGTTCTTATACAAATTATAAATAAAGATTGAAAACCTAACTCAGCTAGCTACGATTCTGTTGAATATTGCAACACTCAGTTCGCACCCACAGTTCCGTCTGATCTCAAAATCTCTGAATAATGTAACGTCTGTACTGACGTACAGTTTGTTTAAGATTCTATGACTTCGATGCTTGCGATTGAGATAGGTTAGGTAAAGTTCTAAAGCTTTTAAAGAGAGATTAAAGGAATCGAAAACCTTTTTTACATATTAATCTTTTTTTATATATATGAAAATGCTAAGTTGATAAGTACACCGAGTGGTCTGATCACACCTAAAGTATTAATAAATAAAAGTTGTTAAAACTGTTAAATCCTAGCGATCAGCCACCGCAGAGTTAACTGCACCTGATGATGCCTCGTGTAGAGGTGGTGTGTGTTTCCAGTACAAAGGTGTTGGATGTTGGTGAAGGATGACGATTAGTGGTGCCACAGATAGTGCACGAAAATGAGAGTGCTCGTAAAATTAAACAAGGCACAATCATGATTTTGTTTTATCGGCTTTTAGCTAATTAATTTGTAACATCTTTTATAGAGTGGATATGGGCAAATAGACGCTTGATTCTGTCAATTAATTAGTAATGTGTCTGAATCCAGACCGTGTTATGACCACGACGGTCAGTCTCAGCGGAGATTGGCTATCGGTGCAGGACAGGATCATAGTGGTTGAGTGTATGTGCAAGGGCATGTGTACTCTGTTGCCTCACCCTTATAGTCCAAAGTGACGATAATCCGACACAATCAGATAGAGATCAGGCGCACGACCAACATCCTTACATGCTTTCCAAGGCACAGGGGTGAAACACCGTCCATTTCCTGGTCCCGGTTTCGCTGAGAAATACTTGTGAGAAAAACCCAATATCTGATTTTTCGCCCGACTTGAGATAGAATCCAAGACTATATGATTAGCAGCCATGTTGACGCATACTAGACCTACGGGGCAGTCTGAAAATATCACTTTACACTATAAAATATTGAGAGAATCCTTTTTCATACTATGTTAAAAGTAAGTAAGGGACTAGCCCAGCGGCACGTTTTAAAAAACCTATTTAGAGGCCACAAGGCTTCCAACCTTTTTTGTAAGTAAAACCCAATGGTTTAGGAACACAGATAAGATCGAATTTTTATTCTAAATTATCAAATTTTGAAAAACATTAAAGATAGGAAGAATATCATCACCATTATTGTCATTACAGCCCATCACAAGTCCACTGCTGAACATAGGCCTCCCCCAAGGAACGCCACAAAGCATTGTCCTAAACCAGCTGCATCCATTGACATCTGTATATCTAGCCACCTCAGTCCCCCGTGACCATGTGTGCTAGAAAGCACCCGAAACGTCGTGAATTAAAAATAAATAAAATTAAACGCAATAAAATCCGTAAAAGTAGTTTTAATCAATGAATAATCTTTTAAATTTTTACTCCGTCTGTCTGTTTGCCTAAAGTTCGGAACCACTGCAACAATTGTAGCGATAGTTCACTGACGAATAGAGAGAAATGCCAGGAGTTATGTACGCTACATTTTATGCAGAGAACTTGGACATTTCATGAATAGCGCCTCATTAATAGATCTTTACCGCCAGAGCCCGTCACTAGTATATATTATAAATATAGTGTGGCCCACGCGACAAGCGATTCGAGCTATGTCTACATCACCAACAACGGTTTCCGTCCGAACGAAACAGCTAACGTCAGTTCAAGGGTCTTCCGAAACAAAATAATTGTAAGTGGACATAAAACTACAACTAGAAGCTAAAATGAATGTACTTACCAAGAGCTGCAAGGATCCCGGCCGCCCAAAAAACCTCTCCACATAGAGCTGGCAAGAAGAGTAGCCCGCCCATGCGGCTCCCGAAGGAGTCCTGCAGCGGGTCGAGCATCGTCACGTAGCCCTGCTTTCGCATGGGATTTGCGAAGAAGATTCCACCTGCCGACAAGAACAGAAGGTGAACTTTTTTAAAGAAGAGTTGATGGTAAGTGTAAAGCACCGCCCATGAACAACAGTAACACCAGGGGAATTACAGGTACGTTGTAAAAACCACCAAGTAAGTCACGCAGTAATGACCCGCCAAGCTCCTGATGATGTGGATGGTAACATGAGTTTTGTCGCGATGTGCGTTGCTTGTACTTGATGAGCTTTTAGAAAATTTGCAAAACGTTTTCTTCTCCGTCTAACGTCACAGGTGGTTGGACTTCGTATCTGCCTAGGACTACGTATGGGTGTAGGTAACCTTCTTGCCTGTTCCTGCGTGTAGGCAGCAGTCCGAACCCTGCTGTGTTCAGTCTCAATGACATAGAAAGCCGGAATAATAATGGGCTGTAAGCAATTCCATCTTAGACTTGTTTTCGGATTTGTAAGATTGTTTTGTTTGTCCTTATGCAATTCACGTATATAAACTGTCTCCACATTACTCGAAAAATTCTTAGCGTCGCGAGCCTAATGCCTTGTAATCTTAATCATTATTATATGATTACAATATTGTTAAATAGTCGTATTATTACGTTTATATGTGTATATATATATATATAGCGCGTACAATAATATAACGCGTATTTATTTTAATTTCTTTCTTTTCTTTTTTTTCTTTCAATTGCTACTTTTCATATTCTCACCTTATGGTTCTTTGATGCCTTTCATATGTATCCCTTTTTCGAAGGGAATGCAATAATAATTTTAAAGTAAATAAATGATGTTAAGAAAATGCTGTTCAACAAGCAAGCCTCTTACCGAACACTAGAGAGAGTGCGTAGCCGAATGGGGCCTGGCACCAGACTAGACCAGAAGTGTATATCGCCTCCGCCGTGCCGTTGATGTATCCACCACCAACCCACGTCGCTGCAACAAACACATTATATGTAAAACCTCTTTTATATATAGAGGTTTTAGGTTTAAGGAGTATTTTAATCAATCGATCAGTATTTTTTAATATACAGATTCTATCAAAATTAACCGTAATACATGTTTAATCGTAATCAACGGTTTAGCGGCGCTGTAACAATATCCACTACCCTGTATCGTCCCGTGGGTTCCGTAAGAGGTGACCAGGACAAACAACCCGCGAGATGGGCAGCAGTGTCTTCCTGATGACAACTTAAAATTATAAAAAGCTTCGGTTGCCAACCTGCCTGCCAAGAGGGCTTGGCGAAACCCCATAAAAAAAATTGTGGAACCTTTTTTCGCGTGCTTTTACCTGTAGGATGGAAAAAAAGTTTTTTTTTTCTCTTGTTTCGTGTGCAAACTTTACATTTTTAATTCCTTATTAAAACATTCATATAATATACATAAAAAAGAAAGCACACATTAGATAAGTATAAATTAAATCATATTCATACAGCAACCATTATCACATGATCCACATTGACAGAAACACAAAACATTCAACAGATATTGATGTGATAATTTAGAGACCTTATAGTTTATAAATCTAGGAACTCAAAATAACTTTTATCAAGTAGTAAAATTTTTTGTTTTACGAAAGATGTTTCTCATCTACTGTTTTAATTTCGCCTCTTACGATATCCACAGGATATGGGGCAGAGAGTTTTTTCTAGTAAATCACGATAGATAGAAAAAGGTATTTTTAAGTCCACTGTGGACTTAACGAAGGTGCACATCCTTATTTATTAAGGTATTAACGGGTGGAACTAACAGTTCGCTTCACGCTTGAATTTGCAAAATGTAAGTGTTTAACAGAACTAAGATTGTTATTAAACAATTTGATTTGACATGATATAACTATACAATAACAACAGAGAAATAAATATGATTTCAAAAGGAAGGATACGCCCATCTAAATATTTTACTCATAGCTTTTTCATACAAGAAAAAGTAGCGTATGTGTCACTATACAAACGTCATAACACGACGTAACCAGAGTCGGATTTCGTACAATTATTGTCGTATTTGTACCATTATTTCATAGTGTGTATGTAGTATCGTAATAATACTAAGCCGACTTGTATTATTATCGGGTCCTATTACTTTTTAATATCAACCCTACGATATCAAGAATTTCTGTATTGAACATGAGTACCGTGTTTTTTTAAATAAAATTAGCACTAGCTCCCTTTCTGGTCAATCACTGCTCGACGATGCATTTATGTTGTATTCTTGATACAACTATAATGTGGGGCTACCACGATAAAAACTGTGCTCCAGAAGCAATCGGTTTAAAAACAGAATTTCAAAATATTTTATGAATCAGATTTTCAGTTTCAATTAAATGGGTATAGTTTCTTTTGTACTCTTTCCGTTTTACCCTTATTGAATATAAAATATATTGGGTACGAATATTCAAAATTTAGCTTATACTAAGTTCTTTAGAAAAAAAACAAAACACAAATAAAAATAAAACCGTCAAAAAAGTCTACGTATACGTTTCGGTATAGATAAACTAGACGCGTGCCGCCAAAAGCCCGGCACATGCGAAAAAATAAACATGAAACATCAAATATCAAACGTGATACAATTTTTGATAAATAGTAAAATTTAATTTTCCTCGTAGAATATTTTAAGGGTCTGAATACAACTCTGGCCTAATCTTTATAACGTAACTAAACTGATAAAACTTTAAAAATGCGTTTATATAATAATTTTATTGTAACAAAATTAATGTAAGGTTATTTACCGATGGTACGATATCTCATGTTCCTTTTTAATCTTTGTATCGTAATATTTGCATCATTTACCACGCAACTAGGCATATTTATGACAGACAAATCTGTCCTGCGTGCGCACCACTGACGACCGATTAGCGTTGGCCCTAAACTGTAATTTTAGGGCCAGCGCAATGGTCCGTTTTAGTTGTTCGGTCGGCCCGGTCCTTACGCTAGTAATATGTAAGTACGCTAGTAATATATAAGTCAATGGCTCTTAAATGTACAATACAATACAATACAGTACACGTTATTGAATACTAAAAAACAACATAGCAAGAAACAAACAAAGAGAAAAACAAAAGGCGGTCTTATTGCTATGTAGCAATCTCTTCCAGACAACCTAAATAGGAAATAAAAATAAGTGAAAAGTTAAGCAATGGGTAGAGTGCACTATAAATAATATTATAATCTATAAATATAAAAGAAATTTAATAAACATGCCGGAATTTACTAATGACAGGCTTGTGATCATAAAACGACAGGAATAGATAAAAGGAGGAGGGATGATTTAGAAGGAAAGATAATGTTTTTTAACTTGGTTTTTAAAGGAGTCCATTGTTTGAGCACGTTTTATAGTTGATGGTAAGGAATTCCAAAGTTTAACTCCAAGAACTGAAAAAGATTTACTGTAAAATGTAGAAGAGTGCAAGGGACATAGAAGGGAAAGGTTTTCTAAGGATCGAAGGGAAAGTTTGTGAGAGGAGCTGAGAAATTGGAAACGTCCTTTAAGGTAGGGAGGACTTGATATACTAAATAAAACGCAGTAGAGAGCAGAAAGGATATGAGTATTCCGACGAAGACGAATTGGAAGCCACTTGAGCTTAGTGCGGTATTTTGATACATGGTCATATTTACGAAGTCCTCATATGAACCTTATACATAGATTTTGGAGTCGCTCAAGTTTATTAAGTTGCTCTTCGGTAATATCTAGATAGCTTATGTCAGCATAATCGAGAATGGGAAGCAGTATATTCATCATCATCACAGAGCATAAATACACCACCGCTCCATTTGCCGTATATGCCAAGTTTAAACTAATAAAGAAGTTCATTATTAAAACAATATAGTAGTTGCCAAACTTAACAAGCGGGCATTCTTTACTAATATATTTCCTTTTTATATAGAATAAGAGTAACAAACCAGCGTACAGTCCACCTGATGGTAGTTGATTACTGTGGCCCAAATATATCTACATTAGATGTCGAATCAAAAATACAATACAAATGTGAAATGCATTGTCCCTCCTGAAGACTAAGATGAAATGCTTCATTTCCTAAGTAAAAAGGATCTCCTGTTCTTTATACTCACCAAACGATACACAGCAGATTTGATCACAACATATTTAACTCTGGTAATCCGTGAGAACTTAGCCGTTCCCCGGTTGAGCCGACTCATTATTTTTTGGCTCTACCACGTAGGAATAATATTTGAAATCCTTTTAATTTTTTTAATTATTTAATATATCTTTTAATCTAATATATAAAAGTTAATGTTTGGTTGTTTGTATTTTACGCGTTACGATAACGTTCAACAGTGTTGTAAAAAGGTAAAACTTTGTTAAGTTATTGCTTGCACTTGCGCGAAGGTTACAGGCATAGTACAATTAACTTACGGTAGGTAGCGCGGGTATCACACGGACAAGTTTATTTGAAACTTATATATCATTCAATGTCAATTAATGTTTACATAAAAACTAGTTTTTACGGATTATAACGCGTTAGTTAACTTATTTTATATTCCACACGTTTTGAGCACTTTATAGCAGCCATGGTTACGGGAAGCACTGAGGTGTTCGACGTCCGAAGGTCATAGTTAACCACGGCTCCGACCTCCAGATTAAAATTATAACGATAAAATTATATGATATAATCCGTATAAACTAGTTTAATTTAAATGTAGTACCCGGATGGCCGAGCTTTGCTCGTTTTTTTTTTTTGAAATTACATTTAGATACAAATTACATTTAAAAAACTGAACTGGTTATTTGAATAAAAAATCATGAGTGCAAATAGTTTAATTAAAATTTTTATATTTTTAAAAAATACTGAAAAAAGGGCTCGAAATAATACATTTTCTCACAAAAGAAGGGAACTTGAAAAAAAGGAAAAAAAAGTCGGACCAGAGACGGGACACGAACCAAGAGATTACGATTTCGCGACTGCTCGCTATCCACTTGAGCTATTACGATCACGACACAGTGTCAAAATTTACCTTTTTATATGGTACGACACAGTGTCAAAATTTACCTTCTTATATTGTAGCAGTTTT